CCGCGACAGACTCCCTGCTCCACGGGAAGCCTGCCTCTCCCTCTCCCACTTCCCCTGCTTGTTCCCTCTCTTGCTGTGTCTCTCTCTGTCAAATAAATAAAATCTTTAAAAAAAAAGATTTGCCTGGGAATTTGGGGCAGGGGGTGGAGGAGTTGGGATTGACGTTCAGAAGACTGAAATTTAGATTAATGGCAAAGGAGTGTGTGTGTGTGTGTGTGTGTGTGTGTTTCTTAACCTCGCTACTAGGTGGTTAAGAAACTTATTCAAGGTTGATCAGAGTAGAGGTATTTCAAGTTGCTTTAGAGAGAAAATTACAAAAAAAACATTATCTTCAGGAGCCAGACAACCTTTTGGAATTCTAGTAGGAGAGCTCCAACAGAAGTGAGATGAAGCCCCGCTTGGTAATAACAGCAAGGTCCACCTGGCAAGATTGGTTGTGAGAGAAGTGGTGATAATGTGGATGGAATAATCAACCGAGACTGTCCTTCCTTGGTGTGTGTGTGTGTGTGTGTGTGCAGTGGGGTGGTAACAGAGTCAAGTCTTAGAGTAAGACAATGCTAAGAATGCCAGAAAGTATCATGAGTGATCCAGGATACTCTTGGGATAAAAGAGGGGCTGGAAGGCTGCGGGTTTCTTGGAGTCCACTGAGTGGAACCCCACGTGTCACTAAAACAAATTTTCATTAGCTTCATGTTTGTTACCCTCGTCCTTGGTAGCCACCGGAGCAATGGACTGTAGTTATCTGCCAGTTCCATTGGATTGGGGGGCTCATTGACCAAAAGGGGCCATATTGAATTCATCTCTATATGCCTAGTGTTTAGCAAATGTTTTTACCGAGTCGATTAATAAATCCATCTTCTACTTTTTTTCCAAAACTCTTGAGATGTGATGAAAAAATTAGTGTCTCAGTAGGACTTATGCTCATATACAGAGTAAGCACTACACAAGTGTTAACTATGCCTTCCATGGTTACTATTATTTCTAAGTTTGCCTTGAACCCTCATATGTAAAACTGCAACTGACTTTGGTATTTTTATATGATCACATTTCTCTGGTTCCTTCCTTTTACTTTTTTTTTTTGGTGGGTTATTTTTAAATTTATTTTTTATTTTTTTATTTTTTAAAAGATTTTATTTATTTATTTGACAGAGAGACACAGCAAGAGAGGGAACACAAGCAGGGGGAGGGGGAGAGGGAGAAGCAGGCTCTCCATGGAGCAGTGAGCCCTATGCGGGGCTCCATCCCAGGACCCTGGGACCATGACCTGAGCTGAAGGCAGACGCTTAACGACTGAGCCACCCAGGTGCCCTAAATTTTTGTTTTAAGTGGGCACCACACCCAATGTAGGGCTTGAACTCACAACCCTGAGATTAAGAGTTGCGTGCTTTACCAACTGAGCCAGGCATCCCTCTGGTTCCTTCCTTTTAATTTAAAGTATATGCAGTTTCGCCTTATACAGAAAAGTTTGAAGTTTTATTTCAAGAATCCCCACAATTTTCTGCACAAATGTTTTTATTTCTCATATTTCCTGTTTCTTCTGAACATCTTTGCAATGACTGGAGTCATGAAAGCTGTTCTCAGGAGTAGGGTTTTTTTTTTTTTTTAAGATTTATTTATTTATTTGAGAGAGAGAGAGACCTTGCACACACAGAGGGAGAAGGAGAAGCAGACTCTCCACTGAGTAGAGAGCCCCATGTGGAGCTCCATCCCAGGAGCCGGGGGACCATGTCCCAAGCCGAAGGCAGACGCTTAACCGACTGAGCCACCCAGGGGCCCAGGAGTTGGATTTTATATCTACGGCACTGGTTAGACACAGTCTCAGACATGGAATTTGTAACCAGTGTGTAGTGTTCTCTCTTTACTTAAAAGGGATCCCTCCCGGGCACCTGGGTGGCTCAGTTGGTTAAGCGACTGCCTTCGGCTCAGGTCATGATCCTGGAGTCCCGGGATCGAGTCCCGCATTGGGCTCCCTGCTCAGCAAGGAGCCTGCTTCTCCCTCTGACCCTCCCCCCTCTCATGTGCTCTCTCTCTCTCATTCTCTCTGTCTCAAATAAAAAAAAAAAAGGGATCCCTCCCTTGACCTCATTACAGTGTCCAATTACCATTTCATTTTTCACGAATATCTATGAAAAAATGCATAGTGTGGGGAAATCAACATTTCTACCCTAGTCACTTTCACCTCAGCGAGGGGCTGCCTGACTTCAGCTTGACTGCTCATGAACACATCACTTTCTATAAAGCCTCAGTGCTTTTCTTCTGACCCTGAGCCAGGAGGCCGTTTTCATACTCCTCTTTCAAGCTTAGTTGGTTTGACATTATTAAAAAAACAAAATGAAACAAAAATCCCTCTTTAACCAAAAGTCTTTTCTCCTTTAAGATAGTCTCTTCTTCCTGACAGGTATGACCCTGAGCTCATTTTTTTTTTAAGCCATCTAGTGAACAGGTTAATGCTGATCACACTTGTTCTTTGCATCCTTTAGCTTTCTGAAGCGAGCCCCGGACTCTCCCCGCTCTGTCGGTCCTCCGGGGTGTGGTCCCCTTGCAGCTGTAATATCTTTACCCTCCTCCGAACACTCTTAACTCCACTTAGCCCCTTGGTTTTCTAAACCCATTCTAAAACTCACACATTCAAGGAGAAACTTATCTTCTTAGACTTTCCCTACTCTAACAGCTCCCTTGAGTTTTGTGGGAACAGTGTTTTCTTTATGTAATACTAATATATCAACACATGTGTGCTTCTTAGTAAAGATTCTTAAGCTTTTGTCTTTTCATGAGTGGGTATTGCTCCCAGAGACCCTTTCTTCTATTTGGGTTCCTTCCAAAATACATAATATGATCCTCCATATGCAGGAGATACAAGCTACCTGTTGTTAAAGTGGGTAACAATTAAAAATGTAATATTTACCCCTGCCAGCTAAGTAAATATTTAACTTACTTGATATGGCTCAGTGACACTTTGTTCAAATACTGCCAGTTCCTGCTTTCAGGGAACTGCTGTCTGTTGCTAACTTACTGCTTCTCTGGCTCTTCTTTTCCCACCTCGATCAGATGGAGAGTATGGGGCTTATGAAGCAGACCGGAACATTGTTCTTATGATTTTACTACCTGTATCACATGCCAACCTATCATAAAGGCCAGGTACTCATTCTCCAGGCTGACTGCTTATACAAGTGGTGGGGAGATTCATTTGAGAGAGAAGGAACCACGGAAGCTTCTAGTGCCAGATTGTTGGGGTTGAAGTTCAGGTTTTGCCATACTCTAGCTGCGCAATTTTGTCCAGTTACTTAACGTCTTTGTGCCTTAGTTTCCTGTTATAAAAAGGATATAAAAAATACTTGTATCACTCTCGTGGAGTTATCATAAGGAGCAAATGAGTAAATATATGAACCAGAGCAAGCTCCATGTAATACAACCTACCACGGCCACAATTACTATTATTTTTAGGTTTGCCTTGAGTCTTTGTATGTGTATGTGGATTCAGATGCTACACATAAAAACTCATGAAAATGAATTGTTGGGTTTATTCACCCTTAAGGAATAGATTCTGGAAGGTTAGAAGAGCAGACACCGGGACATCTGGGTGGCTCAGTCAGTTAAGCGTCTGCCTTCGGTTCAGGTCATGATCCCAGGGTCCTGGGATCAAGTCCCGCATCGGGCTCCTTGCTCAGCGGGGACCCGGCTTCTCCCTCTGCCTCCTATTCCCTCTGGTTGTGCTTTCTCTCTCTCTCTCTTTCTCTCTCTCTCTCTCTCACACACACACAAATAAATAAATAAAATCTTAAAAAAAAAAAAAGAGCAGACACCAAGTTTCATCTGCTAAGGCAAAGCCAACTCCTGAAGGGGTTGAGAAGAGTATAAACTAGCTTCTGTTCTAACGACTTTCTGCACTCAAATGCGTCCAGACAAAGAAAGGCTGAGGAACTCTTCCAGATGAAAGGAGATGAAAGAGGCATGGCAGCTAAATGCAGCTCAGAATCCTGGGTTGGATCCTAGGTTGCCATAAGGCCATGATTGGGAAAATTGAAAGAATTTGAATACAGACTGAATGATAGGTATTGATTATGATATCATTGTTAAACTTACCATTGCAGTGTTGTGTGAGAGGATGTTCTTGTTCTGGGTGTGTGTGTGTGTGTGTGTGTGTGTGTGTGTACATCAAAAGAGAAAAGAGAGTGAAATGAAGAGAAAGAGACTGGAAAAGTAAATGTGGCAAAATGTTAACATTTGATGAATTTGGGTTATATAGGATTCTTTTTCCTGTTTTTGCAACTTCTCTATAAATTTGAAATTATTTCAAAATAAAAAGTGAAAGAAAATCAGTCCTGTGATTTGGAGACCCAGTGTTCCAACTTGAAAGATGGAGGAGTTTTAATTTATGGTCTTTAAGAATGATGATAATAGGGGCGCCTAGGGGGCTCAGTTGGTTAAGCATCTGCCTTCAGCTGGGGTCATGATCCCAGGCTTCTGGGATCAGTCCTGCATGCCGTCCAGCTCCCTGATCAGGGGGTAGTCTGCTTCTCCCTCTCCCTCTGCCTGCCTCTCTGCCTACTTGTGCTATCTCTCTAATAAATAAATAAAATCTTTTTTAAAAAAAGAATGATGATAATATTTTCTGAGCTGCAGATTGGACTATTCTGTCTGAAGAGTCTTTTAAAATATTTTAAATATAAAAATCCTCCAAAGATGGCAAATTAAGGCACACATTGGATATACTTCTGTTGAAAAGAACAAAAATACATGAGAAAAGGGCGCCTGGGTGGCTCAGTCATTAAGCGTCTGCCTTCAACTCAGGTCATGATCCCAGGGTCCTAGGATCGAGCCCCGCACTGGGCTCCTTGCTCTGCGGGAAGCCTGCTTCTCCCTCTCCCATTCCCCTGCTTGTGTTCCCTCTCTCGCTGTCTCTCTGTCAAATAAATAAATAAAATCTTTAAAATAATACATGAGAAAAAATAATTTAATAAATTACATTTATTGGTTAATAGAAGAGTTGTCATTTACCCATTTTCAAGTCAATGGTATATTGATCCACTTGTACTGTTTGAAGAACTCGGTTTGCTCAACAATTTTTTTCTCAAAATTTTTAAACAAATATCAGAGTAACAGAATTGAGTTATCATTGTTGAAACTTCCAATTCATCTAAAGTTCTCACTATAAAAATATGAGTACTTAAAAAATATAAGTTGACCCCAAAGTGAAAAGACAAGGTTATATATTTTCTTTAGGTCTGAAATATTTACATTCATAGAATAAAAATGTATAACTACATTTTATCATCTCTGATACACTGTTTCTTTTTTTGTGTCATTATTCAGCTATTAAGATCTCTTTAAGATACGCTTTTATGATACAAACTTAATTTTCAAATCATATTACCGAAGAGCAGTGAATGTTCAAAACATGACAAGCTGGCTTCGTTTAAAATGGAATGTGCTTCAGTTCAACCTCTTCTAATTTTATATAGCCAGTATCTCATCCAGATGAACCCACATAAAAATGACGAATCCACCGTCAATTCAAGTGACACTGAAATGAAGCCTGAGCGGCAGGAGGAATCTGGGAAGGAATGTCATTAAGTGACAATCTTACGAAGCTTGACAGATGATCCCTGTCAGTAGCTATCAAAGGTTTGCCTCCTGACATGGAAGATCTTGCTGGAGGTTGAGAGAGGCTTTGCATACTCTTTGGCTCAAGAACTCAGGACAGTTACTAGCCAGAAAACCGGGCAGCCAGTTCTCAGCTGTGAAGGTTAAAAATAAAAAGATAAGCAATGGGAAGCAAAGGAAGAAGAGGAAGGAAAGAAAGGAGACAAAGGTAGTAATACCAGTGTTATTAAAAGCAAAAATAATTTGTCAGGAGAACAAGGATCATTTCATATTGATACAAGATATAATCCACAATGAAGATGTAAGATTCATGAGCCTTCTTAAAAGAAATAAAGAAAAAAGTTTCTGGAATAGTAAAGAGAAAATGACAAATAAAATTGTAAGAGGCATTAACACATTTTTCTCAAGATTTCGGAGAGATTGTAAAGTAAATAAGATTGAATCAGTAGGTAGATATTGGACTTTGTATTTTACAAGCAGAGACTAGACCTTTGTCACACATCCGTGGACCATTTGCAGCAGCTGGTCATATACCCGGACGCAAAAGGAATTTTACTATATAATAAAAATGAGAAAATGTAGAAAACATATTTATATAATCATAACTAACATACACTAAGAAAAGTTTAAACAAACAAAATTCTTCAATCCATGAATTATCTAACAATTTCCAAAATAGTCTGAGAATATTTATGTTTTCCATAATGAACTCCAAAGTTCATTTATAATCTTTAGGTGACTATTCATTGCAACTCCCTTTGTAACAATAAGATGGTGGAAATAACCCAAATGTTTGCCAACAGGGGACTCAGACACACATCGATGGAGAAGTATGCAGCTGTAAATAAGGAGCATCTCTAAATGCTGCTATTGATATATACTCTGTAGGATTTATTGTTACCTGAAAAAAACAAGATGAAAGAAAATATATAATATCCCACTTTTTATCTCCCAAATGTGGCAGGGATACGAATGTATATTTGCTTATACTTGAAATCATAACAACACAAGGGCATAATCTAAAAAAAACTGAAAAGAAAATGGTTATCTATATTGGGAATAGGGTGAAGGAAACACAGATTAAAAACTACACTTTGGATTATACCTTGTTTTGGGAATTTGATTTTGGAACCATGTAAAGATTTTATATAATTATAAAAATAAAATTAAATTTCAAAAGTAATTCCTAAAAACAAAGTAAAATAAAGATTACTGTGTTGAGTCAGTAGCTTAACTATACAGAGAAAAATTATTTCAAGTGACTTTAAAAAACAGTACTTTAATGTGTAAACCTTTTGGGATATACCCTAGGAATAAAAAGTATTGCAAGTACACCTTAATATGATATATATTAATATATAGTTTATATACAATATAATATATATTACATATACACACACACACATACCTACCTACACACACATTTTTTTTCTTTGCCAGAATGCTGGAATTTCTGGGGTATTCTGATGATTCAGTAGGACAGAATATGGGATAGAATCCTGGAAAGTAGGACTTAGAAAATCTAAGATTGGGAATGCCGAATTCTCCAAGGACTATGTATCACTGAAATCTGCAAGGTGACTGCCTTGACTGAAACCCAAACCTGATAAGACTAAAACTTTATTGGAAAAATCCTTTAAGTAAAAGACTAGTTTATTAAGTGGAGGTGTAAGGTGTACGTGAAGTCTTCAAAGCCTGGAAATAGAAAGTTGCAAGCAATTCCTACAGAAATTTTTTGTCTTAAAAAATATATAGATATAGGGGCGCCTGGGTGGCTCAGTTGGTTGAGGGACTGCCTTCGGCTCAGGTCATGATCCTGGAATCCCGGGATCGAGTCCCACATCAGGCTCCCTGCTCGGCGGGGAGTCTGCTTCTCCCTCTGACCCTCCTCCCTCTCATGCTCTCGGTCTCTCATTCTCTCTCTCAAATACATAAATAAAATCTTTAAAAATATATATATAGATAGATATAAATGTATCTCTCTATTTAGTCCCTAAAACAATCTTATCACTTCCAGGAGTTCACACTATTGCTGAGATTTGCTTTCTTGCAAGACTTTCTAATGGTATAATAGTCTTTATTTTTGAACTATCAGGTAGAAAAAAGTCATTTAATTTGACAATAAGATAAAATTTTGATTCTAAGAAGACTTATTAGAAGATCCTGAGATGGGGCGCCTGGGTGGCTCGGTTAAGCGACTGCCTTCGGCTCAGGTCATGATCCTGGAGTCCCGGGATCGAGTCCCACATCGGGGTCCCTGTTCGGCAGGGGGTCTGCTTCTCCCTCTAACCCTCCTCCCTCTCATGCTCTCTGTCTCTCATTCTCTCTCTCTCAAATAAATAAATAAAATCTTTAAAAAAAAAAAAAAAGAAGAAGATCCTGAGATGTGCACCGGAATATTTTTGAAATGTCCTTCAAATAGGTAAAATTTAAACTGGAAAGAGTAAAAAGTTAAATATTTCCTATTTATAAAATGTCAAACTATTTTTCCTCATCTGGTTAAAAAGTTGGTTCCAAAATCACTAAATAGCTTCATATAGTAAACAATTAATCTTTTGTTGGATTCATTCCTAGTTCTATTTCAGGAACTTACCTTTGTTTTCCTCATTGGTTTCCACCTCTATGTAACTTATGTTATCAAGCTATCTTTCATAAAATCTTCTAAGTGGCCTCTTATTCTTTATGGACTATGGTGCGGGAATAACTAACTCACTAGTTAAATTTAAAAACTACAACCAACTAGGGGCACCTGGGTGGCTCAGTCGGGTAAGCCTCTGCTTTGGGCTCAGGTCATGATCCTGGAGTCCTGGGATGAGTCCCTACAGTGGGCTCCTTGCTCAGCGGGGAATCTGCTTCTCCCTCTTCCTCTGCTTGTTGCTCCCCCTGCTTGCACTCCCTCCCCCCTGCTCATGCATGAGCCCGCTCTCTCTCTCAAATAAATAAATAAAATATTAAAAAAAAAAACAACTTCAACCAACTAAAGATTGACACAGTAATGTGACTTGCATTCCTGTCTTCACATTTAACAACCACAGACTTCATTTTCTAAAATACCTCAGGGAATGAAATGTCCAGCCACACTATCAGCTAAATTCTCTCAAACTCATTATCTGGATTTGGTGTTTCACCCGCATGGTCAAAGCCTGGAATCTGAAAGCTTGAAATTTCTTGGAATCAAAAGTTATTTAATGAACAAAATTAATTTCAGGAAGGGATAGGTTTAAAGTCTTTGCCAACAAAGAGTCAAAGAGATTTATTAAGGCTCTAAAATAAGTCATTTATTTTTTTTAACATATTAAGGGACATTTTGGTTCCCCCAAAGGACTCTGAATTGGCTAAGCATTTAACAGTAAGAATGACTTTAAATGTTTTTTTTTATCTCAGTACATAAAATCAGTTAATTTCATGTCATCAAATTGTCATTCCCAATTCATATCTTTCACAATAAAATTTTATCTGCACAATTCTGGTTTTGATTCTAACGCAGCACTGTACTGAGTTCTATTTCTCAGCATCCTGAGGTTTTCATCTGAGACCCTAGTAGGTATATGGAAGCATATTCCACCCATGAGGGCCCAGAGCCCCCTGGAGCTGAAAGCCCTCCATCCTCTGTTCTCTGCCTCGTAAACTTGTCCTCCAATTCCATGCACTTTTGGACCTACACTTACATTAGCTCTAAGGAGGCAAGTACTTTGTTATCTCAGGAGGAAAGACCAGGATCCCCACAGGAAAGTGTGGAGAGTCTTCCCATGTGCCTACCCTCAGCCTGGAGCTTTGTATTTGCTACCTCATTCCATCTAGTCAGCAACACCAAGAGGGAAGAAATCTCCATTTTTAAAAATGTTACATTACAGTAGAGTTAACATACAGTGTTATATTAGTTTTAGGTGTACAATACAGTGATCCAACACTGCCATACATCACTTGGTGCTCCTCACAAGTGCGCTTCTTCATCCCCATCACCTGTTTCACCCCTCCCCCACCCCCCTCCCCTCTGGTAACCCTGTTTGCACTACTCTTGTAGTGAAGAGTCTGTGTTTTTGTTTGTATCTCTCTCTCTTCCCCCCCTTTGCTTGTTTTTTTGTTTGTTTCTTAAATTCCACATGAGTGAAATCATATGGTATTTGTTTTTGTCTGATTTCACTTAGCATTAGATTCTCTAGCTCCATCGATGTCCTTGCAAATGGCAAGACTTCATCCTTTCTGATGGCTGAGTAGTATTCCATTGTATATATTCCATTGTATATATATAGTAGTATTCCATTGTGTGTGTGTGTATATATATATATATATATATATATATACATGGAATGTGGAATACATTCCATTCATCTATTAGTGGACGCTTGGGCTGCTTCCATAATTCCATAATTTGGCTATGGTAAATAATGCTGCTATAAACATAGAGGTGCATGTATCCCTTTGAGTTACTGTTTTTGTGTTTGGGAGGTAAAAACCCTAGTAGTATGATTATTGCATCACAGGGGAGTTCTAGTTTTAACTTTCTGAGGAACCACCCTACTGTTTTCCACAGTTGCACCAGTTTGCATTCCCAACAGTGCATGAGAGTGTAAATCTTACACACTAGGAAATTGAGCCCAGAGAAGGCCCTGGGCTACTTAGTTGTGTCTGTCAGCCTGTCTAATCCAAAGCCTTTTGTCTACACTACTACTTTCTTTGTGAACTAGTACCACCCACGGTCATATGGCAGAAAGCAGAGACTTCAGGAAATGACCACTGATCCGTATGTGTTGATCAGGCCATGGGCATGAGGGAAATAAGGCAGTTGTGGGTACATGGGGGTGGAAATCAGGAAGTGACCACAATAATGTGGGAGGTGGGGCACTGCAAGAAGCTGGGGAAATAAACATTTTTCAAACTTCACATTTCCCCCTTCAGGCCAGACCAAGTTGGAGCTTGTTTTACAGTGGAAATGAGGCAGCCCGACCAGTCTGTAGGGCAAAACGTTTTTGTTGAAAAGCCCAGTAAGTGTCATTCTCATGAAACAGTCTTTTTCTAGATCTAGGGTCTTTTCTTTTACACGCTCTGTAGAATGGAGTGTGCGTGTTTGGGTGGGAATATATTGGCCACAAGTCTCCATCTTTATTTTTCCTCTCCGTGTTGTTTAGTGTCT